CCCCAAAACCCCAAAACCCCAAAACCCCATCTTTCTATTATAACTTCTTTGGCGCATTTATTTAAATATATAAATTACAAATTTCATGGAGGGAACAGTTGCTTCACAGATTATCTAGATTGGTTATGAAATGAGAGTTCAACAATCATTTGCAGCTATTAAAAATTTTTAACTTGAAAAATCTCAATCGTTTAGGTAGTTACCCTTAAATATAATTATCATAGAGCATAGTTAAGTGAACTAATGAAATTTATGAGAAAATTCAGTATTGATTACATTCAGAGTCTCATCTCTATTGGTTATTTAAACAAGATAGAGCTAAATTAGCAGGTTATAGGAGAATTTATTCGATAATTGATAGATGATCAAGATAGTTTGGATCTTGAACTAGTGGAACTTGACTACAAAGTAAGGATTTCTAAATTTGCTTATTCAATCCTTGCAGATATTGAAAGACCTTGAAATCACAATGTTGCATTTCTTCTGGTTACAGATAATTTGTCTTCATGAAAAATGTGAATAGAAAGATCTTTAAAGAGATCTTTATAAAATGTCATAAAGATTGGAAGATCTAAGCTAGGACATCGACATTATGTACGATGTATTAGATGATAGCGAACTTCCCACTCTCAACATGCTGCTGCAATCAGTAAAATTAATCACTTAATTTTATTAATATAGATATTGATAGAGCCACTAGTCATGCTTGAAAAGACAGTATTAAAATCTCAGTCTCTCTATATAAATCTGATAAATAAGCTTTTGAGCAAATACATAGATGAGAGCAAACAAATCTAATTTGATTTCTAACACATGGATTAAAGCTCTCAGCAATCAATCATCAAGAATGGGAAGCCTAAGAAATAAGTCTGTGAGATTTAGATTTAGACTGAATAAGATGATATTCTAATTGATTACATTGATATGCTACAACGTTAAGAGGAATATGATATAAGAATGAGAAGATTATCTAAGCCATCTTAAACTTAGCAGACATATTAATCATAATAAGATGAAACATTCAAAATACCATCTCAATAATCATCCATATAACTCAGTCATACTGCTTCATTTAATTAGCAATAAGTTTCAATTAATAACTCCTTTACGATGCCCTTGACTTAAAAGAAAAGAGATGAGAAACTTTCATAAAAACTTCAGGCTCAATTATAGACTTAAAAGATTTTCAAAGGTAAAAAATCAGGTATTGCCAAAATAGTTCCTACTTACAGCTGGTCTAACTCACAAAGAAACAATTAAAATGTAGTAATTTCAGCAAAGACAACCTCAAGACAATCTAGTTTAGTTTCAAATCTCATCAGACAACGATGTCAAGCACTTATGCAAGAATAGCAGGAAGTAGAAAAATTGAAACAAAGAGAAATTCTAGCAGGAAAAATTGCTATTGAAAATCAAAGAGGATTAGATGATTATAATATTTGTGATAGAACCTCTGAAGATATATTGTTTTTTGATTGATTAATATAACACTAAATCATTAATTTCCATTATCCTTACTCATGGGGTTTTGGGGTTTTGGGGTTTTGGGG